TATACTACCTCATATCAGCCATTTAATTTGTTATTTAAACGTCACATAATATTTTAGCATTCAATGTCTTTTGGTGGTACTTTTAGAAAGACACGTCTTTCTGTACTACTCTCGGCTATTGCCAGGGAAGTAAAGTCCCAACTCAGTCGAGCCAATGATAATAATACTGAAATAGTATTATATGGTTTAATTTATTGGTTCCGAGTTTGGGATCATAAATACCGTTTAAAGTATTCGGACCAAATGAATAAATGGCTTGACTACATAATGGTGGATATTTATTCCACTGTTATGGATTGTGGTCCTCTTTTATTCCTGCTTAATACACTTTATTCTGGCAGGTATATTCCTGATATTGATCATTTTAATTGAATGCTTTTTATTCCTTTTTATTTTATTTTATTATTGCTTATTGTTTAAATAACAAATTATTTTATTTTTAAAATTTTGAATAACAAAAACAAATAACAAAATTTTAAAATTAATTAAATTAAATTAAACTAGAGAGGTCTAGTTTTTCTTCTCTCTGGTTTTGTCTCTTCTTCTCTCTTCTTTTCTAATTTATCTATTCTTTCTTCTCGTTCGTCTCTTCTTTTACCTTCTTTTATTGCATTAAGAAGGATAATATTATTCTTTTTATAAGCTTTGATGGCACATTCTATTTCTTCTATAACTTCAATATGTCCTTCCATTATTAATTTAAAACTAATAAAAGGACTGTTTCCAAGAGTTAAATCGAATCCTTTTACAAGGATATTACACTTTTCTGTTATCGAAGATATATCTCGAATCATCGTAACAACATCATTTAATGTGGCATTTCTGTCTTCTATCTCAGTTTCATCTTCAGAGACGTTTCTTGTATTCTTAGCTGGTGTTCCAAACATTGATCAATGTAATGACCATATCTAGATGGTAGGGTCATTAAACAAAACAATGTACGGTACACCAGATACACGAAATATTATACAAGATGAAGAATATGTTAATACAATATTGGAAGAACGAGATCTCCATTTAATAGATGTTCTCAATCTTTTAAAGGATTTAAAGAAAATTAATAACGAATGTAATATTTTGACTAATGGGTTTGAATTAAAACTTGGGTATTTTCCTTTCGAAAGTCTTTCGACATTAGTATATGGCCATTTAAAAGCGATTGATAATATTGACTCACTTATTAAAGATTTTAATAAGAAGAATTCTTTATTAATTACAAAATTAAAAGAAATGAAGAGGAGAGACGAACGAGAAGAAAGAATAGATAAATTAGAAAAGAAGAGAGAAGAAGAGACAAAACCAGAGAGAAGAAAAACTAGACCTCTCTAGTTTAATTTAATTTAATTAATTTTAAAATTTTGTTATTTGTTTTTGTTATTCAAAATTTTAAAAATAAAATAATTTGTTATTTAAACAATAAGCAATAATAAAATAAAATAAAAAGGAATAAAAAGCATTCAATTAAAATGATCAATATCAGGAATATACCTGCCAGAATAAAGTGTATTAAGCAGGAATAAAAGAGGACCACAATCCATAACAGTGGAATAAATATCCACCATTATGTAGTCAAGCCATTTATTCATTTGGTCCGAATACTTTAAACGGTATTTATGATCCCAAACTCGGAACCAATAAATTAAACCATATAATACTATTTCAGTATTATTATCATTGGCTCGACTGAGTTGGGACTTTACTTCCCTGGCAATAGCCGAGAGTAGTACAGAAAGACGTGTCTTTCTAAAAGTACCACCAAAAGACATTGAATGCTAAAATATTATTGCCGTTTAAATAACAAATTAAATGGCTGATATGAGGTAGTATATGAGGTAATGATTGACTTTTATACTATAATTATAATAAAATTATAATATAATAAAAAAGGAAAATGTCTGTTTTGTCTATCCTGTCTGTCCGAATGCCTGTTACATCTAAATATTTAAACTGTCAAATACTGTTAACTAACATACCAAATGGATACAGAAGAGCGTTTAGAAAGTACAAAGATAGAAAATATTAATATAAGAATATTAAAGGATTATTTCATAGATATGGACTGTTTAAAAGATATGTGCGACGATTTAATTCAATGTTATAGAAAGGAGCAAGACTTCTACTTGGAAGATGAAAAGTTTAATAAGATTCTTGAAGATGAAGCTGAATTAGTTGAGTCCATTTGTGAAATAGCTTCAGACATTAAGAAGAATTATAAAGATATTCTCGATGCTTTTAGAATAAGAGCTACTGAAAGAGCAAGAAGAAGAAGAGTAACCATGTCGAGAGAATTAAACAAGAAGCCAAGAGCTCCTAAAGATAATTAAAATTAATTTAATTCTTTTTAATATTATTTTGTTTATTAAATAAAAAATAAATAAAATAAAAAATAGTAAATTAACTATTATTCCAAATCATTTGTGAAATGGAAATTTTCTAATAATTCTAATAAACCACCCAGTTTATTAAATCGTTGATCCTTAGTGCAAGAATCGACGAAACCTGTAAGGTAATAAAATAAAACATCACTATAATTATAGTGACTCTCCTCGAACCTCCTCATAAAATAGAGGATAGAATAGATCAGACATTTAGATTCCAAATCTAAACTATCACTCTCGAGGAGACCTTTACAGGTTTCGTCGATGTCTTGCACAATGCTAGACAAGAGAGGGAACATCGAATGAAATAAAAAGTGCCACACTTTAAATAACACATAAAACGTGTAAACAACACGACAAACAGACACTTAAAGAGGAATTTCCACATTAATTGAATTATATTTTTATTATTCCTTATAGTTTAAAAATCATTTTCTGCCTCATACATTACCTCATATCAAAAATAATCCGGAAAAGATAACAAAAAGAGATAAATTAACCAATCAAATAAACAGACAATGAATAAACAACACGTAGACATTTAAATAAAAAGGTCCAACAAATCATTTGATAACATCGAACAATGTCTAGCTTAATTAATAAATATTATGGCTTCAACGCCATGCATGGTTTTATCACAATGAATTTCGACGCTAATCACCCAGCTCCAAGTACTCCAATATTAAAGCAGATGGTAGAAAATTGGTGTTCCACAAAAACCAATAAAGCAGAAGTAGATTATATGGCTATTAGTATTACCAAAGGAGCAAATAGCCATGCTCATATATTCTTCAAATTAAAAGAAAAAGCTAAGATTCATAAGAAGCCTGTAGCTCAAATAAACAATACAGAATATAAATTAGTTTTTACACCAGTTACCGAACATAAGAAGTTCGATGGCTCGTTCCAAGCAATAATAAAATACTTAAAAAACCAGAGTAAGAAACACGGAACGGAAGCCACTTTTGAAGAGATAGGAAAGGAAGATTCGTTAAAGGGAAAAGTAGGTAATGCCCTCGTAGAAAAAGCGCTCTCACTAGATAATTTAAAAGAAGCTGAAGGAATATTAAGACAGGCCAGTATGACCTGGTATTTAAACAATGTAAAAAAATTTAGGGAAATATGGAGAGAACAGCACAATAATAAACAAACAAACAGAATTAATATAAAGCTGAGACCCTGGAAAGAAGATAATATTCTAGTGAAAAACGCGAGAGCTTGGCTTCAGGGGGTTAAAATATCAAAACAGAAAAGAGTGAAAACGCTAGTGCTATTGGGGGAGACTAGGATAGGAAAAACAGAGTTTGTAAACGACCTCCTAAAAGGAATGAAAGTGGACGAGTTTAGAGGACACTTCATGTTCGATGGTCACGATGAATATAAAAATACGACATTAGACTCTTCGATGATGCCAACTTAAAGGAAATCCAGTGGTTCGAATTTAAAGCTTTAATATCAACGAGAGGGGAGACAATTACCATGAATGTAAAATACGACCACATAAATGTTACCAGCCTTCCAACTATTATAGTAATGAATACTAAAAACTGGGATCTAATGAAAAAAATAGCTAAGGAACATGATGATTCAGACTGGTTAGAAAAAAATACGGCTGTTCTTTACTCAAAGGAGCCCCTCTTTGAAAGACCAAAAGAAATTAGAAAAACGATAGAAGAACTAAAGAAACAATATGGTGATTTGGATCCAGCCATATTAGAAATGTTTGATGAAGAAGACATCCAGTCGGATAAAGAAGATGAACAAAGCGAAGATAGCTCCTCAGAATTCCAATTACAAGAACCACTTCCAGCTATAATTAATCCAGAAGCAACATTAAGATTACCAGAAGATGACTTTATACCAGAACTAGAAAAAAGACTCAGAGTGCCATCAATAGAAGATGATGAAGAACTTGCATCAAGATGGCCTCGTTATGGAGATGAAATTAATTAACTAATTTTTGGTTTATCTTTTATTTTTTATTTTTAAAATGAGCTATTGGTATAGACCAAATGTGTTAAAAAGAAAATGGGGAAGTTATGGAAATATTCATAACAACCAATACTATAATGATTATAATGATTATTCATTTAACAATGGAATGAATAATAAATATGATCCAGATGATGGAGAAGATGAATATTACGATGAAGATGATGTAGATTTACATCCAGATATTTATCAATCCAATAATTATTTTGATCCAGACAATGAATCAGAGAGAGTAAATAAACCAGACTTGATTAATGAAGATTATAGCAAAACAGAAGAATCAATATTTGATGATCCAGATTATGAAGAATATAATAAAGAAATGAATATTAATGATTATCCAAATGAAGAAAACGAGAAAGAAGAGAATGAATTACCTCTAAAAACAATAGTTGATCCAGATAATCCAAATAATATTTATACATATGATAATAATACAATTGAATTGTTAAAGGATATGAAAATAAATATTAACAATAAAAAGGAAATAATAAAGGCATTGCAAAATATACAAGATGACATTAGACAAAACAATTATGAGAATTTAAAAAATGCAATAAAAGAAGAAGGAGTAGATAATACAATCCCTGTAATAGAAGAAAGAGGAGATGATATAATAGTACAGAATATAGATTACGATGAAATAAAAGATAAACCAATGGAAGAAGAAATAGAAATACACAAAGATGAAAAAGAACCAGATAGAAATATTATACCACCTAAACCACCAAAAGAGAATAGAAATACTATTAAACAATGGATAGATAAAAATAGAGATAATTCCAAAAGAAAACATCATTTAGAAGATACTAATGAATATCAAGAAAAGAGAGATTTTGAACGAGGAATAAAAATAGAAGAATTACAACAGTTCTTACCATTAGAAGAAAAAGAAGAAAGAGAAGAAGCAATAAATGAAACAAAAATAGAAATTCCACAAAATGAAGCATTGAACGAAAAAGAAGAAGTTCAAAATAATGAAATAATGAATAATTCATTACCAAATGAAAAAATAGAAGAGAAAAGAGAAGAAAAAGAAGAAAAAAGAATCAAAAAACCAGTTATTGTTAAAAAAGAACGAAAACTCAAAGAAGTTAAGAAGTTTGATTCTAAATTTAATTATAAAGAACTCTTCACTGACGTTAAAAACAGAAAACGTGAAGTTGATGAATTAGAAAAAAGATATAGATTACTTACTAAAGATATATTACTCAATTATAAACCAACACAAAAGAAAGAAGAAAATGATTCCAAAAATATTCTACCAGAACAATTTGAACCAATAATAGAGAAAGAAGAAGAAGATTTAAGAGTTGAAGACATTCCAAAAGAGTTGACAATACAAGATCAACAAAAATTTTGGAATAACTTTAAACATAATGACGAAAACGTTGATGTAAATGAAGATGAAGAAGAAATAGAAGAAGATATAGAAGAAGTAGAAGAACCAGAAATAGAATATGAGTACGAGTATGAGTTCTAGTACTATACTCCGAAAAGAGATAAATTGAATATTTAAACTATTTATTTTGAACTGTTTAATCATTCATACATGACAACCATCAAAGACATGATTGCTGACCATGCTATGGGTAAATTTGTATCTATGGATGCAGATGAACTCATAGACACAATGGTCAAGCTAATAAATTCAGTGGAAGAATACACCAAGGAAGAAGAATTAAAAGGATTAAAAAAGCCATATTGGAGCTTGGTGTATAGAATAGCCAGAAAGAAAGGGTTAATGTGGGATAAACCGCAAATTAAAAAAGTAAAGACACCAGAAGTAGCTAAAAAAGAATACAAAACTAAATTTGTATTAAAAGATAAAAAGAAAGAAGAAGAAAGTAAACCAAAGAAAGAAGATAATTAATTATTTATTATAAAATTTAACTGTTCCATTTATTGTTTTAAAATGATTAATTTTATCATCATCAGGTGATACTCTAAGTAATACCTTTTCATAATCAGTACGTTTATCACTTATTCCCCATTGTTTTAATTGTTTATAAACATTCTTCATTACTTCAAATCTCTCTTGTCCGCTTTGTACTTTATTAAAATGAGGTTGTTTATATAAATATTGATGTAATCCTCTTCTTTCAAAATCAGATGGTTTAAAGATAGTACCTTTATTATCACTTCTGTTTGTTCTTGCACCAATATGAATTTTATGATAATAATCTTTGGATGAATGAGTAGTAATAGCTTCTGGTACTAGAATATCTTGCAACTTTTCATATCTTCTTACTACATTTGGTTCAAATGCAACATCTTCAATTCTCTTCCATAATTCAGGTGGTAATACACTTCTAATATATGCTTGATTATTATTCAATCGTTCTAAATCATCATCTATATCAGTAACAATTTTTCTCTTTCTACGTGGTTCTTTTTCATCTAATGTTTCTTTTCTATTTGGTCGAGGTGGAGTATAATACATCCCTTGTTTATTATTCTGTAATATACCACTCATATACATGGAAGTATTAAATGGTTTATATTGCTGTCGAGTACTTCTTGGTATTCCATTATAATTAAATCGAATTGAACCATATGAACCATATCTTCTTTTATGGAGATTTAATCGTTGTTTTCTCTTCTTAACCAAACACATTAAAATAAAAAGTTAATTAGGAATTAAAGTTTTTACTACTTCTAATACTTCTTCTACTGCATTCATAACATTCCCTTGTCTTCTACTTTCAAAAAATGCAAAGAAACAACTCGCTATTAATAATATACATGATAATAGAAGCATGACTATTTTACGGATAATATTCCATGTACTTTCTTTAAACACCCCTTCTGTACATTTAGACGAGTGATTAGAATCACTGGAGTCTGCACTCATATTATGAATTATTCAGTTCATCTTTATATTCATATGATTCATTCTAGAAATAACTGTCCTAATAATACACATGAAGTAGAATTTGTATTTAATACACCAATTGAAGTTAAACTAAATAAAGGAATGGGAGTATATACAACTTCTCTTTTTGATTTACTCTTCAATAACACAAATTATAAATCATTCTGTAATTATTTTAAAAGAGTTAAAATATTTAAAGCATTGATTAGTCTCTCAATAGGAGAAATAAATGTAGAAGAAATTGGATTAAATTTTCCTATTGTTAGTACTACATGGTTTCCGACATATATTCGTTCCAATATTGATCAAGACACTGCTGATGACAAAGATATAAATAAAGTAATTAATATGATTAATTCAAGTACTCACTTACAACAACAAGTCTATTATCCAGGTGGAGCATTTCAAATTAATAGTATTATTAAAGCTATGACATTACAAGAACAAAACTATTATGGACCTACTAGAGTAGAAGGATATTGGAAATATGATTCACCTGAACTTCAACCATTTACAAATGAAAATGTAAGTATTCCTTTTTATCCATGGTACTTCATAGGAGTAGAAACACCAAATAACAATGATAATAAAAGTATTAAATTTAATTGTCAATGGTATATCACTGTTCATTTTGATAGATATATTTGCACTCCAATAGTAGAAGAACAAACAATGAATTTACTTGATTTAAATGTCAATTTAACTAATGAAGAAATCAAACAAAGAGAAACACTCACATATCAAGCAGAAAACAATTCAGCATATGAAAAAGTAACTATAGCATTTCCAGAAAAAGAAGAATCTACATTTATTTTAATTATAAAAGATAAACAATTATATTAATTAACTCATTTTTATCATTCATGTCTATCATTAACAAGACAACAAAACAAGAAACTTTAATAAGAAAAGATGAATTAAATAAAAATACATTCAAAGTAACAGTAAATACAGATGATATAACTATCGAAACAACTACAAATGGAATAACAACATTCACCAGTGAAAATTACATTGACAGTATTCAATTAATCACTCAAGTACCTGAACCAAAAATCCAAACAAAAGCAGTTACTATTACTGAAAATGGTTCATACACTATAAGTCCAGATGATAATCTTGATGCACTTGATCATGTTTATGTCACTACAAATGTACCACAATATAAAATAGATTCTATGAGAGTATATCAAAATGGAATTCAAAATATAATAACAGTAGCACCAGAAATAATATATGTCACAGAACATAACACCGATATTACAGACCTAATAGAAGCAGATGCAAAATTACACAAATTCACAAGTAACTCAGAAACTTATGACTACTTAAGAATTACAGAAAAAGGAAATTATCAATATATAGTATTTAAATTTAATGTAGTCAATGGTTTATATGTATCAGAAATAGAAATAAACACTCCTGCTGTTACAAACAAATATACAATAACATATATATTAAAATTAAATACAGAATGTAACAATAGTGGTCTTCTTTATTTTTGTAAAGGAACAACTATAGAAGAAACAACCACTCTACTTTGTTATAATTCGGAATATGCTCGTACTGAAGAGGGTAAGCAAGACCCTGCAATAATACTATACTCATCTCTACTTTCAGAAAACTTCCCAATAAAATAATTCTAATTAATTTAAGCACTAATAAGTTTTTGGTTATCATTTGAAAACAATCCAGTAACAAATGTTTTACTAACAAGTACAACTGGATTCAATACTCCATTTCCTACTGTTCCAGCAACAACTGGTAATGCACCTGAAGCAATAGTAACTGCCATATCTTCAACTGTTCCACTATAAGCATATAAAAGAGATCCAACTACATCAGTTGATGAACCAGTAGTACTTTTAACATTAATTTTAACTTCTGAATTAGCACCAGTAGAAGTATCAGGTAAGTTAATTCCATAAATATCAAATACATTACTTGCAAAAACATAAGTATTACCATCAGTTGAAATAGTAACAGTATGTGCATTAGTATTAGCATTACCAAATAAATAAGCAGAAATATTATATCCTTTTACTCCAGCACCAAGAGTACCAGCAGTAGCAAATACAACTAAACGTACTCTCATAACACTCGAACTACCTCCACTAATAACTAAATTTTGATTACTTTGAGATGGTTCAATTCCACTAAATTTGTCATAATTCAAATCTATAGCATTAACTTGTGAAATTCCTGCATTATAAAATATATTATTCAAATACATCTTAAATGAATCAACAGTCCAAGTATTAGAAGAAGAAGATAATTGTCCACCTGTTGTTTGTACCATTGATGTATAAATTGGATTATCTGTAGTAACAACACCACCATTGTTAGTTGTAGTCATACTAACTGGAATCATTGCATTATTTGTACCTGATGCAACTGTACCAGCATTAGTATTAGCATAACCAAGTGAATTAGCAGCAGGTGTTGGAATAACATCAAGTGTACTTTTTCTCAATCCTCTAAGTGAAACAACCCATGACCATGTTAAATTAAATACAAGTGTTTGACATGTAGCTGTTTGATTTCCTAAAAGAACAGAAAGTAAGAAATCAGGATTCCAAGCAGCATATAAAGTAGATTCAGTTAATACTTCAGCAGTCTTTACTGTTGGAAGATAAATACTCTTCTCTTGTAATGATGAAGCAACAAGTCTTCTTGTTATTCCCCATCTTGCACCAGGATAATATGCTCTACTCACTGCACTTGAATATGAACTCACTTGATAAGGACCTGGTACTATTGGTACATTACTTAATACACCTTGTCCTTCTTGTGTTACTTGACTTGCTACTGCTTTATCTATACCATTTCTATCCCATGCAGTAATAACATTAGGAAATGTCATTGCAGCTTGACCAAATGTATTGTAAACAATTTCAGCTGACACTGACACTCCATCTATTTTAAATTGATCATACATTCCAGCATAATATTGGAAGAATTCCGTGCCGCAAAGCAATTTAGTAACATTCCTTACAGTTGTAGCACCATTAGTATTTGCTGGAATAGCTAATTGTACTGTTTCAGTAGCATTCAACACTACTTGAGTTGAATCTCTTTGTTGAAAAGCAGCTTTTAAATTCCCAGCCATAGTACTTCTTAAATTTCTTCTCGTTGAAGTTGGTCTAGTAGCCGTGGCTCTTCTTGTACGTCTCATTTATTTCAATAACTCAGTTGAATCTAAATTCGAGTTTAAATAGCTGAAGCTTATTTGATACATAATATATGATGGATAATGATATCCTGTATTAAAATGATGTATAAACCCGTAAGAAATTAAATAATCGTTTTAGTCGTAATCATAAGGTGAAGAGGATCACAGTAACACAGTGAATGGGATGACTGAACCTGATTATGATTAAAAAAGATTTTTAATGCTAAAAGGGTCGTAAACTTCCATTATCAATACATCTATTATCATTAATCCTTCATCATTAATTTGTGACTGACCGATGACGTGTCAAATTGTATAATAATTATTGTGACTACAATAATTATTATACAATTGCCACGTCAGCTGTCAGTCACAATGGGTTATAAACCATTTATATTTAAAGTAGAGTATTATACAATTATAAGATGAATAAAATATTACAAAGAAACCAAATTAGAATGAATATAAGAATCAGATAGAGAAAGATAAGAATAAGAAAATGAAATATGAAAAGAATGAGATAATATAGAGATGAAAGAAAAAGGATAAACAAAAAGGAGAATAATATATAATAGAAATAAAAGAAGAAAAATGATAATAAAATGATAGAAGCAGAAAATAAGAAAATAACAAACAAATAATGAATAATTGGAATGATAAAGATATATACAAGTAAATGAAATAGTTTTATAAAAATAAAGATAAAAGATGATAGAAGAAAATAAAAATCAAGAAGGAAGTAGAAAATGATATTAATTACAATAAAAATATTAACACTATCATTTTCATTTATTAAATTAACATTTAAATAGATATTTAATTTTTATTTATTTGATATTATTCTTTAACTTGTATTTGTTTATTTTGTTCATGTTGTATTGATATCTATTTATTCTCTTATATTCTCTACATATTATTTCATTAACGATGTATTATTATTTATATCTTTTATCATTATTTATTTTTAATTTTATATTCTTTTCTTCTTCTTTCTTATTGTTTTTTATTTATTCAATTTATTGTAATTATTATTGAATTACTTTTATTTTATTCTGTTAATTTGTTTTATTTTATCTTTTTATTATTTTCATTTCTATTGTTGTTTATTTTCATTTTATTCATTCTATTATTTCATATTTATTTTCTATTTTCTTATTTACAAATAATAAATCATTTCATTTCTTATTCTATGTAATTATTGGTTTGCTCATTTCATATAATTATATTATTTTCTTGAATTAATTTCATTGTTTATATTCATTTCTTTTATATTATTATTCTTCATTATTTTATTTGTCATTTTCTTTTCTTTCTCTTAATATCATTATTATTTCTCATCATTTCTTGTTTATTTTCATGATATTAATTAATTATTCTTCATCAATTATGATTATGTCATTTCTGATTATATTAATCAATTTTATTTTGATTATATTTGTTGTTAAATGAGAATTGGTTATGATTGTTATAAATATGATAAAATATAATGACACGATTGTTGTTATTATTTGTTTGATAATGATTATAATTATATTCATGTTATATCATCTATTTTCATTTGTTTATGTGAATTATTTTATGTGATTTTCATGTCATTCATGTGTTATATAAATAAACAATTTAAGATTAAAATTAAATAATGATGTATCAAAATTATTATGATGAAACAGAAATATGAATAGTTTTATTTAAATCTAGATAAATTAATAATAATCAAAATTATATTTTTCTTTAGTTGAAGAAGTACAAAAATGTTGATTTAAACAAGGAGAATATACAACTGTTTTTTGAAATGTAATAAACAATGTCATTGGCATTGTATAATCATTTGAACGTGAAATATAGTTACGAGTGAATGTTTGATTAATTTTATCATGAACATGAAATACTTAAATATAACATATTTTAAAGTTAATTTCAATTTACTTCATTTGTTTTCTTATTACATTTATTTCTTATTTACGTTTAATTAAAAAAATCTTCATTATATTATTTTATTCACATTTATATTATTCCATGAATCAGTTGTATAAATATTCTTGATTATTTAAAATGTATTTCTTGTTTGTTTTTACATAATATATTTGAATTATTATTATATCTTTCATCAATCAATAGAATTTATATGTATTTCATGTTTAATCTATTTCTCACATATTGTTCTATTCAAACAATTTATTCATTTAATTTCATATAAATCATAAAATAATAACTTAATGCATTTATATGTTATTTTATTTATAATAATTGTTTTTGTGTTGTTCAATACTCATTTTTATTTCTTATCTCATACCAAAATAATATTGTTCATTAGTAGTGATAATATTCTCTTCTTTTCTTTCATTTTGATATGAATTTAATATTCTGTGTTTCTATTTCTTTCATTTTAGAATTAATGATTTAATTCAAACAAACAACTAGTTTGATTTGATAGAGATTGAAATTGTTATTGAAGAAGAGATAATTAAATGAAATAACTCATATTGTTGAACTTATGTTGCAGTTATTCTTTCTGAACATTCATTTGTTGAATATTTCAACATCATTCTTCACTAATTATTATATTTTATTACAAAATGTTATAACAAAGAAAAAATATGAAGAATAAACAAAACATCAATGAAACAAACAATAACTTAAAAACATTCAAAAATATAAAAATATGATGAGTTAAGAAATGATAATTCTATAATTATTACTTTTTCTTTGACTTTTCTTTTAATTAACATTAATTATACTTTAATGAAAACACAAATAGAATGAATGACAATAATAATAACAAAATTAATGAAAAACATGAAGAAATTCAAATATAATAAAGAAGTTTGTCATGTTAAAACACCATTGAAAGAATGAAGAAAATTCATAATAAAATGAATTAAAAAAGAAATTAAAAAAATGAAGAAAATATAAAACACATTCTCATCAAATATAACCATTTTACAAATAAAGAAATGAAATATAAATTTATTGAAGAATGAAATAAGTTAATTGAACAAAAATAACATTTATGTTACAATAAATAAATTATCTAATACATACAAATTTGATGATGAGAAAGTAAAAATACATTTCAATATGAATTAATGTTAATGATACAGATATTGAAGATATTATTTGTTTTATTTTGAATGAATTAAATGAATAAAAATGAAAATATTTAATAATTAACAATTAATTCAATACATTGAATGAAGAAATGGAGAAGATATAAAAATGAAACAAATCTTAATACAATAAGTGTTTTGATTTATGAAATATTGAATAAATATGTGATAAATCGATTATATTTATTTCATTTGTTTTAGTTAATTTAACAAAAGAAGAAAACAATATTACATTTTAATTCAAACAATTTCCATTGTATTTTATATATACAATTAAATACAAATATTGTCATTTGAAATATTCAGAAATTCTATTATGTTTGATGATTTTGAATAATATTAAAATGAATATATTCATTTTCATCATATAATTCAAATTATGGTATTATCATTCATATCACAAATGACATTGAATAAATTGTAATTCAACAATAAATGTATTGTAATTGAAATAAAAGTGAAATATTAATTCTAAATAATTCATTTTATTGCATTAAATATTATTTTATATCATAATATTGTTGATGTTTTGTTATTCAATTCTTTTTATTGTTCCTTTATAATTTAAATATATTCTATTTTGATTATTTCATTGTAGTTGAATATTTCATATTTTTGTGTTATTATATTTTCATTCATTTCATCAAGTATCTTCTTCATTTCAAATTCATTTTATTAACAACTCTCATTGTTTAGTTTATGTATTGTTCATTCATTATCATAATTATACATTCAAATTCTTTATTTTGTTAATGTCT